GCCCGGGCCGCTTCGATGCCACGCGCGGGGCCCCGGCTGAGGGAGGGCCCAGAGGGTCTGGCCCTGGCTGGTTTGGCGTTTTTTTTTTTTTTTGGTGTGTGCTTGCTGTTCTCTCGCCAAGTTTTCTGAGGTGGAAGTCGGTGTACCAGGAACTCGCGGATTACCCCTGGTTCGTGATCCTCGGCAACCACGACTTCGGCAACGACGACCCAGACTGCCTCTGCCCTTTCTTCCACGAGAGGCCGGGGCAGCCCAAATCGCGACATTGTGATGACTCCGCTCGCCTTGGCCCTCTGAGACGCAATGTAGCTGAGACGCAATGTAGCTCGAGCGCGAGCTGGTGCCCTACTTACCAGGGCCCGCTGTACTGCTGCTGACGCCACGGCTGCTGGTTGTGGCGGTGCCAAGCCGTACTCCACGGCCAACCAGTCGCCGACCGCCTTGGCAATTTTTGGCTCCGGGATGTCGGGAGCGGGAGCAGAACACCCCCTTGGCAGGTCCTCCTTTGTTGCATCCCGAGAGGTAGCTTTAAAACTAGGACATCCGGAACGGCAGACTCAGCATAGGACTATGATTCTGGGGCTCTAGGAAGCGATCCGGAGACCTGTGTCTGTAAGGTATGCTTGCAACCAGCTAAATGCCGACAAGGGCGGTGTGGACGGAGACTTGCGCAGGACCCCAGTTTTTTCTGCTGCTTGAGAAGCACGTTCAATGCTGCTCATCCGCATCTTAGGGGTGGCAAAGGTCCCATACAACTCAGCGCAGCCAGCCTTTTACGGAGCACTGAGCATGGAGGAACTTTCACATCCCTGACTTCACCTTCTTCTACACGATCCCAGAGCTGGACTTCGAGTTGATAGGCAGCCATCACGCTCGTGGGTAGATTTCACAAGTGCGGGCACCAGGAGTTTCCACGTTCAAGCTTGAGGTCCTTTTGTGAGAGGCTGAGGCCAGTCGCTAGATTCCGCGCTCAAGGGATGCCCTTAGAAGAGCTACTCTGTAGCTCATGAGCTCTCGGAGCGCTTGAAATGTGTCGCATTGCGTTGCGGTGCGGCCAATGCGGCCAGGCCTGGACTACAACTGGTACGATCGCCATGGGATCGGTGGCAACGGCTACGGCAGCCTGTCGGAATTGGAAGCGAGAGCTGTCGTGAGCGTGACCCGTTAAGCCAGAGGTCCACACCACCGGTGACTTTTTTAGCCTAAAGTTTTGAAGCCATGGTCTTGGAGCAGACAAGCAGCATCTCAAGTCCCGAAGTCGAAGGCAAAGAGGAGATGCACCCCACGCTAAAGTCCCAACCAAGCTCCAAGTGCTTTCAAAGCTCGCCTGAGGTCCCTCGGGCGGCGGGCGCGGTGTGGCCAAGTCGTGTGGTGGGGTAGCGCGCGTGGAGGCATTTGGGGCTGCTGTCTGTAGCGAGTACGGAACCCCCGCAGACTCTGCCTGCGCTGTCTAGGAGAGAGAGAGAGAGAGAGAGAGAGAGAGAGAGAGAGCGAGAGAGAGCCGGGAGCGACCGGCAAGCCTCCGCTGGCGCGCCAACAGCGACGGTGCTCTGCGTTGCTTTGCAAAGCTCTGCGTTGCTTTGTGCTTATGGCTGCTTATGGCAGCTTACGGCAGCGGTTGGAAGGACAGCCTGGCGCGGCTCCGAGACGCCTCCAACAAGGCACCGCGGTTTGGGCTTCGGGGTGTTGAGGCTGGAGGTCTCACTTCTGAATTTCCTGAGCTGTCTGCTATCTGCCATCTGCACCTAAAAACAAGTGGCGACACAGAGCCAATGTTGACAGAGCCCCGACTGTACTTAAAAAACGGGCCTCAACCCCCCCACCCTGGGCCCCTAGGCCCCTATAGGTCCCCGAAAAAAGAAAGTTAGGGATAGCCTTGTGTAACTTCCCAGCCCTCGCCCCAACTCCTTAAGCGTTTTATTCCTGAACCCCCCTACACTTTCCAATAATCTTTGTAAAAATCCTTTATTTGGACATCCCCACCTTAACCATTCCTACCCTAAGATCATCCTAAAAGTCCTTGTAAAAATCTATATCCCTGAAATCCCAGCAGACTAACATAATGTATCTTTACAAATACGATTGTAAAGATAAATCCTAAGAACTTCACAACCCAAACCCGTCTTCACTATATAGGTGTCTTCATCTTCAGTGATTTCATAGTATGTTCCATAAGGCTATCCCAAACAAAGACACCCCCCCCCCAAGAAGAGCTCTGCTCAGATCCTCGACGAACGGGCCAAGGCCCGGCCCGGCTGTTCCGGTTCCTTCTTTGCCCCTTTTCGGGAATGCCGGAGTCAGCCGCAGACGCAGCCACGTGTTTCTGGTCCGACTCTTGGACTCTTTGGGATCGAACTTGAGGCAAGGCTTGGCAGGCTTCTCAAGAGACTTTAAGATCCCAAGCCCAGCCGATAAGCTCTTCGCTCCGCCGTCGTGGAGGCGGCGGCCTGGACCAACTACGCCATCATTAGCCATTACCCTGACTGGGCGCAAGAAGGCACCGGGTTGCCGGTTGTTGTCGTCGCCACAGATGTGTCCGGGTGGCCTCGGGCCTGGGGGCCTCGGCCCCTTTGAAGGGGCTCCCTCTGTGGTCGAGAGCTTGAGTGGAGCAATTTATTCCTGCCAGGAATCAATCTCCGACACAAGTTCTTGCAAGGCATGCATCAAGAGCAAGCCTCCTGGCTGGCATTAGTTGCGGCACCCCGTGCACTGAGCTGGCAACGGCAAGAGATCTTGAAAGGCCACCTTCATGCAAGACATTCTGAGGCTGCGAAGAAGCGCGTGCTGAACTTCTACGGCCACACGCACATCCAGCAGTGTGTCCGGTCCCTGGTGGGCTGTGGAGGGGCTGGCAGGGTGACTTTGAACGGAGCATTTCAGGGTCTCCGGTTGCCGTGGCTTCTTCCACCTTGCTGACCCTATGATGGCCCGGCATCCCGCACGACAGAAACCTCCAAGTCTTCAGCATCCCGCAAGCGACTGGCAGGACAATCGGGGCGACAAGGAGGATCCCAATCTGTGCACCGACATCCTCACTGGTGGTGCGGGTGGAAGCTTGGTGGCAGCTCGGGCAGTCCGTCTGAGCGTCTCAAACACAGCCCACTCACCTTCCGGGAGGTTATTTGCTTGAATCAAAGTCGGCAGCACGAGGCAAACGACCCAGAAGCCCTGCCGTGGGGATAGAGTTTTTCCTGCAGGGGCGGTCGGGCGGCGCCTGAAGCCCGACGTAGGCGACGTAGGTGATCCACACCGAGATTTCGCGAACTTCGTAATACTTCGTACCCCCCTACCCCCCTTCGTGCGACTCGTGCAAGCTTTTAGGTCAAGTTCAGACGGCTTTCCGCTGGCAGGCTTCCCTCTCACAAGCCCCCTGTTGTTGCTTTGGTGTTTTTTTGAATAAATGGGCTCCCCTCACACATGGGTCTCTTTGGGATACCTAGGGCCCTCTTTGGGATTTTCGTCCGAGGCTGCTGTGGAGACAAGCCCGCGGGCTTCGTTGCCGTGACCTGGGACAAGGATGGCAAGATGACCAACGAGTGCTGCTCGGCCCAGCGGATGTCTCACCCGAGGGCGGTGATTTGACACACTCCAAAGAGGGTTCGGACTAGTGCAGAGATGTTTGCTTCGAGCCTTCGGTTTTCGAGGTTTCCTGGAAAAGGACTGTACGATTTGGGACTGGAGCTTGGTGCAGGACGGGGTGTTTAAGCGGGGGCTGCCCGAGTTGGCGCCCGTGCGCCGCATGGCAGGACAATGCGACGCGGTCGGCTGCGAAGACAGATGTCCGTGCGGAAGGCAAGCAGGAGGTGCGCGCCCGTGGGTTTTTCTGATGCCTCGCATTTTTTTTTTTTTGGGGGGGGTTGAGCTGGGGCCTTCACCTGGCCCACGGACCGAGGTCTGCCACAATACCGTGGACGACCCCCGGTGCCCAGGATATGCTGGACCCCTGAAGCTGTAGACTGCAGCGTGACCTTTCGGCACTTGCTGCTTTTGCACGGAGTGCTGAGTGGGGACTAGAAGTCCAGGATGTGATGGAACTGGGATGCCGAATGTCGAAAGATGGGTGGGGGCTAGGGCCGCTAGGGCCGCGCATGGATGCACAGTGTAGGCATTGTAGGGAAAATCTGCGCAAGTGTCCGACTGAGCTGGCCAGAAGCGCCATTGCTATGGACAAGCAGAAGGTCTGACACGTCCTTTAAGTGGAAGTGCTAGCGTTTGGCTGTTGCCAAATAGGCTAGTGCCGTGCCCAAGTGGGGGCCCAAAGCCTCAAATTTGAAGGCCGGGACTCAGCTGCATGCCCGAAGCGCATTCAGCTCTTTTCGTGGTGTGGGCAGTTCTCGAAAACACGAGGCTGTTTGAAGCCCTGCACCCCGCTGTCCCCAAACCTCGAGTGGCCTTCGAATGCCGGCACTTCCAGCGCATTATCAGAAGGACGGAACAACGTGATTCATCCGACTCAGGGGCGGTGCCCCATAGACACCCCAGGCATCGCATGAGGTTGCACCAGCGAGTCTTTGAGCTGCTCCGGCACGTTTCACGACTCCGAGCCTGGCCGTGGGGATAAAGGCAAATGGACTTCAATCGTCGGAAGCGGTACTGCTGTCCGTCCTGCCCCATGTCATTTCGCAAGTAGTCCGCAGACCATCGCTGTGTCCGTAATGCGAGACCTGGTCGTCGCTCTCTCCTCTCGTTGCAAGTTTGGGAGATCCGGGTCCCCCTGTTGAAGAATGACTGCAAGGGCCCTTCCGCAGCGCTTGGCCCGATCTTCGCTTTCAACACCGCCCGAGTCTTTGTTTCTCGGACATGGACGCCTTCGTCGCAAGCCCCTCCGCCTCCTCGGGTCCGGCGCTGCGCGGCACTGTCAATGGGCCGGGCTTGGCAGCCCCAAAAGTCCCCAGCACGCCAGGCGGATCAGTGCGGGGAGCTGCACTGGGAGTGGCATCACTGAGCGCCTTGGCATGCGTGGCTCCACGCTCAAGCAGGCCACGCAAGACGAAACTCAGAGCCCGCGGTGGTGATGTGATGGAGGCCATGCCCACGACAGAGATCAATTATTACAAGCTGGACCAGATCAACACTATCACGATCATGGCATCGATGCGGGCAGCCCTCAAGGCCATGAGGGACATAGTCTTGACGGAGAAGGTAGCAGAAGAGCAGCTGCAAGATGTCCTTTGTGACGGAGATGTGCGCTACGCCCTCGTGTCTCTGTCCCGTTTGCCAGTCTTCTCGCACGAGTTTGGCTCCGCGTTCAAGGACGACTTGGACTTGCTGCACTGCCTGAAGCAGTTGAAGTACTTCTGGAACTTGCCCATCAGCCAGCTGGCGATCCTGATGACCAACATCTCCGAGCGTGTGATGACTGACATCACTCAGGACCTGAGGGCTTTTGAGGAGAGGCTGGGCAAGTCCCCTCGGCACCTGGAGGCTGTGAAGGAAGTGAGTAAGCGTCTTCCAGCAGAGGTTTATGCCAAGTACATGGAGAACGCTGCTCACCTGGAAGATGCAGATCCCCATGCTGTGTATCCCACTTCGATCTACAGGCAGTGCGATGCCCAGACGCTAGCAACGAAGGACGCTTCCACGATCGAGGCCGTGATGAGCACCACGATCACCACCACGATCAAGATTGCCCGGAAGGTTCTGGACCCCTCCAACCATTTGCTCTACGACGTCTATAAGCCTCTCGGCCGGTGTGTGGCCGTGGTCGACGACAAAGTAGACGAACA